TGTCGCCCCGACGATAGAATCTCACCTTCTCCATACTTCTTTACGTCTGTCATAAAGTTTAGGCATCTGGTAACGAGCGAATTACTCTTGGCAAGCTCTCTATCTTGAGATTGAATTCTCCATGTATTTTTGATCTGCGTGAAATATATATAATCCCGACGTGACGGATCTTCAATCCCTTTCCTTTTAATACACAATCTCTCTCTCTCTCTCTCTCTATCTCTCTCTTTCTTTCTCCTCTCTTCTTTTCTCTCGTTCTTCCTTCGTTCTTTCGTTCTCAAGGATCGGTCAATTACATCTCCCGTGCTTTTAATCTTTTAATTTGCCCTCCCTGTGAAAGAGAGAGAAAAAACGAAAGGAGAGACCGAAGTAATCCGCCAAGCTGCACTTGTATCGAGAAAACGCACTCGTGCCTCTCCTCGGAACGATATCAAACACTCAACGGGAGATTAAATGGAATGATTCGGCTGCCACGGCGCGGAGAAGGATTGCGCGACCCGAGGTAGAAAAATTGACCATGGAATTGGAGAGGGAAAGAGATTTGTCTTTAGACGATAAGACCCCTACTCGGGACGTTAAGCCCAATGTGTCGCGATGGTTTCCGCGAGAATTGCTCCACTTGCCGCGCGCGTTGGTCCTTGAACGCGTGCCTCGTTTCGCCCTTCTCTCGTCGCCCATCTCATTAACATGTCACCCTCATATTTCATCTGCCGCGATATTTTATGTATGCCATTTTGCTTTTGAATTCCAACGCGATTTTTCTTTCCTTCCTGCTTCCAGTTATGTACCTATCCACCCAGCGTCTACCACAGCGCGCGCGCATCGCGCATCAACCGACGCGAGACTTTTACGTAAGGCTGAATCTCTCGTGAGAATCAGCCGACGTTTAAAGAGCGGAGAAGGATGCCAACAGGAAGGAACAAGCAGAACGATTACCTAGATCATGAGCGAAGCATTGGCTGCATCTCGAAGAATAATGAGAAGGGACAGATAAACAGCCGGCACCAGCGTGGAACAGCTGCATGAGAAAAAGTGGCCGTCCCCCGGGGTACGGTCTCTCACGTACACTCGAAATTTGCTCGCGGAACTTCCATCGTTCTTCCAGCGGTCTTGGAAATATTCGTGGAAGAATAAGAAGAAGAAAGGAAGGAAGGAAGGAAGGAAGAAAAGGGAAACTGGCCGGCGAAGGAGGAGCGAAGGGGGAGGGAAATCGCGATAGGACGTGTTCCCATAATAAGATGGGCACCGTAACGAATTTCAATCGAACTACGTAATCAAGTTGATAAAGGAACGCGGTGATACGGCAGTCGGCTCACGTTTTCCTTTAAACCTTGCACACCCACCACGCCCAGTCCGCCGATCGATTATACTTCTCACTTGATTAATGGTACACAAATCTATAAACGATTCGACGATCGTTGGAATGCGTTACGTATAAACGTACGTAGCAACGTACACCACTGCAGAATCGTGGAATTCCTGGCGATCCGTTATCCGTTTCGCGGGGATTCGCGAAAGCCGAATCCGCGAAACGAAAGCTGAAACCTTGTTCCGCCGCTTTGCGTAACTTAGGATCGGGTTAAATAACTGTTGCAGAGGCGAGAAATTCCTCCAGGCATCCGTGGGGAGGCTGTCGTGCCTGGAAGGGGACTCGAATTCGCCGCTCAGAGGGGAAACGCGAAACGACACGCGCGAATTAGAAAGGACACGCGCGCTGGCGTTGCCGGAGATAGTGTAAGTATATCTCGATCGGGCGTACGTGCGCAACTGCAGTTTTTTTTTCAAATCGATACTTATTATAAAACAACGAAACAATGAAATTTATCTCGCCGGAGAAAAAACCATACAGAGAGCACGCGCCAGTGCAAATAAACTCGCGTAGTATGTGTCGTATCGAAATGCGTGTCCTCTTTTCTCTTTTTTTTTCGCCCCCCTCCTCAATTCAATTTACGAATGAACAATACGTATCGATAAATAAACGTTTACAAATATTGACCGTCAAAGAGTTTCTCTCCTGTTCTGTTTTTTACGCCCACATAATACGCGCGGAATGCAAAATGAAAAAGAGAGGAGAGGAGAAAAAAAAATGCGGGTTTCATCACGCGGACGATTAATTTAGTTTCCGTCGGTGCATCGCGATAAATATTTGTTTCATAAAAGCGCCGTTTTAATTAAGCCACATGCATTTCTATGCGGCGACGCGCCGTTCCCCCGGCAATCTTCCATTCGATTTACATGCCGTTTAAATTATTATCAAAGTCCGCGCGCGCATAATATATTGCGGATTGCGGCCGTGAGTTATCCCCCGCTATCCGCTCCGGCCTCCGTCACGAAACAACTCTTTAGAATTTAATGAATCGGAAATGAGACAGGCGGACCATCCGCGAGCGACCATTCATACGCGGATTTTGAAAGGAGCTTCGTGTCTCGCGACACGTGAACCGCGTTCACAGGAGTTTCCCTTCTGGTATTTCCTTTGGCCGAAGGCAAGTCACAGTCCTGTCCGAAGTACACTTCTGAACTACACGTTTCCATCATTACGAATCGTCCGTCGTCCACCGATGTTAGCCGCGCCGGTTTATAACGATGTTAACCGCGTTTCTCTTTGCGCGTCTCCGCTTCTCCCGTTTTTGGTTCCCGTTTCGTCAACCGCTAACGGAACGACATGCCTGTTGCGTAAGGAAATTGCTAACGCCGGTCGTTTCCCTATCTCCGCTGTCCCGCCGGTGGTTCGGATTTGCAATTGACGCGGATCGGGCAACCGAATACGCCTGCGGGGACGCGAGTTACCATTTTCAACGAAAGTCCGTAGATGATGGGGAGAAGGGGGAGAAACTCGTGTACGAAGTGGTTCTCGAATAGCCTCGGCGAAACTTCGCCAATGTGTATCTTGGTCGCCTTAAGGACGAACGATCTTGACTACAGAAACCGTTGCCTGTTGTAAACACTCAGACCGGTTGGAACACCGGTGAGCAGATATGTAGTTTGTACCATTAGAGAGCAACCTGAGTGTTATCCCCGTTATATCCTTTGAGATACACGTACCCCTGGCTATTAATACCGACTCTCAGAACTCTAACAACATACCGATTCGATACCGTTCGAACGATGTAAATTGTTCAGTGGTAATTTGTCGCGGACGCGGCCCGCAGCCTCGGCCCCTATATCGCGACGACGCAATATTAATTGCGACCAGGTGAGACGATTGCGACGGAAGAGGGAATTTTTAATGGGCGGAGGAGTCTCGGACAAAGCGATCGGAATAACCGGTCCCCTTTTATTTTTCGTTGTGTATTTTTCCCTTTGCGTTTCGCGGCCGCCCCGTCG